GTTTTACAGTCCAAAGAATATCCAATTACAAAGTCTTCTTACCGGTTGCCTTTGTCATTTCCAGTAAACAAAAATATCAAAGTATAAGCACAGCAGAGACCCTTAGATAGCAACAGAATGTCAGAGATACAGAATGTCAGAGAGAACAAACCATGATCTCTAGCTCCCTCTTGTGGCAATTTGCAATACAATCAACCAATCGGAACATAGTACAAATCAATACAGTGATTTTGTCTTAAAGCTACAAACATACATTGTTGGTTTATATATTGCCAACCCAACTAATTGGTGGACAGATTCCTAACAACAACCATGACCTGAGAATCTGCATAGATGTGATAGGAGCATGTGTTGGACAACACAACATGGCTACTTGGGGAAGGTTGATTGGGTGTTTCAGAATTCTGTGAGTTGAAGTTCATACTTCTTAAAAATCAATGAGGTTGAGAAATACTGTCTTAACAGCTTGTATTATCAGGAAGCTCTGATGTTTAACTTCGGCTTCCTTCTTCATAGTTTGAATTCACTGGTTCCAGTTCATTTCTGCTTCCAAGCCAAGGCATAGTTTCTAACTGGTGTGATGGGTCAGGGGAAGGTCCCCTCCACAAATGAGCAGAACCCGGAGGAAAATTGAAATTGATTTCAAATACAGTTAAATTGGATTCAGTTTTGCCTTTGAGTGGTCTTAATTCAAAGCAATGGAAATCCAATGGCTTCCCATAACTTCACTTTTTTTCTGAGGAGATCAAACAAGCGTTCTGTGAAGATGCTTTTAAGAGCCTCAAACTCATATTTAATTGCTCTCCAGTTTTACATTTACTGATAAGGAATGTAGATGAGTGGCTAACAGTCATTTCCACCATGATGAAAAATTTCTGATGTCTCTCTGAATGCACCTGCATAAAACGATTCACTGATGTCTTATTAGTAATGATTATTCATACATGGACTTACTGATGTTTATCTTAATCATTTTCCTTATTTGGAAGAAGGAAGTCCTTCTTACTAACCCAAATTTGGAAGCCTTGCTTAAGCAGGATCAGAATTGCTTAACATATGCATGAAAACGATCCATTCTTCCTTTTTTGTCCAGCCAAAATATATCCCTGCTGATTTCATTCATGAGATGCAAATGAGGTGTTCACATTTTTTTTTTAGCATTCAGAATAACGGATAGGAATGAAGCAGGGTGATTTTTAAGTTTAATTGAATTCATCATCCTCATTTAATGACCCCATAATCCTTGCGGGGTGGAGTCTGGGCAACTGAATGGAGCTGGACAACAAAACTCTGCTTTGGTGACAGGAAAGGCATCCAGCCATTAGAACACCCTAGCAGAGTGTTCTAATGCCCTTCCTGTCACCAATGCAGAGTTTTGTTCAGCAGATATATGCTTAGTGTGCCCAGAGAGAAAAACATCTGATTTGCCTCGACCTAGGATCAAACTCACAGCCTCCTGATTATGAGGTGAGAACTCCACCTCTAGGCTACCGCATCACTCCTTTAAGTTTAATTGAAAAAAAATCACTGTCTTGGTTCAACCCAGTAAAAATTGTAAAATAATTTTCTAATAATACCAAACTTGGAACTTTTATTTTAGCCACAGAGTGTACGATTGCCCTCATATTTTTTTCTAAAGTTGCCTGAAATTAAATTTTGGGTTCTGGATTTCATTCACAGGTAGTCCTCGATTTATGACCACAGTTGAGCCCAAAATTTCCTTTCCTAAATATGACAATTGTTAAGTGAGCTTTGCCCCATTTTGCGACCTTTCTTGTCACCGTTGTTAAGTGAATCATTCAATTGTTAAATTAATAACATGGTTGCAAAATGGGATCACGTGACGCCGGGACACTGCAACCGTCATAAATACAGACTAGTTGCCAAGCATCTGAATTTTGATCACATGTCCACGGGGATGTTGCAATGGTCGTAAGTGTGAAAAAACAGTCCTAAGTCACTTTTTTCAGTGTCATCGTAACTTTGAACAGTCATTAAATGAGAGGTTATAATCAAGGATTGTGTTTAATTCCCATAATTCTCCTCACAAATCTGAAATTTAAAGCAGGGATGAGGAACTATGGCCCCTTTATGACTTGTGAATTTCAACTTGTAAAGTCCGCAAGTCATAAAAGGGCCATCGTTCCCCACATCTGATTTAAAGGAAAAACACACACCATCCCATATTTAAAATGGCCTTTAGCATTTCTATTGTGGCCTGTCAGCCGCCAGCCCCTCCAGCAGCCAAATCAGAGGAGGAGGAGGCGTGGGAGTCAGGGTCAGCATTAGGGCAACCTAAGAGCTCTGAGGGGGAAGAGTGAATGGAGTTGGCAGAGAGAGAGACAGAGACAGAGCCTGGGCCGTCTGTCAGCCCTCAGATGGAGAGTCAACAGCCCCTAGGTCTGGAGGTGGCTAATGAGGAAGAGGAGGAACAGCTGGGTCCAGTGCCTGACACACAGATGCGCAGAAGGCAGAGGAGAGGAGAGCAGTAGAAATCTATGGGCCGGTCCTCAGGATGGAAGAGCCACTGCTGCTAGCAAAGCCCCATCCTAGCTCTGGGGGTAAAAGGCAGGGGACAGAGATGAATAGAAGTGGCAGACAACTTTTCATCTCTCTGCCGGATGGACTTGTTAGCCTGCGGCGAGAGAGAAACCGTTCGCCAGGGCTGCTGGTGCTCCTAATAAAGGAATCTTTGAGTTAACTTCAGGGTGTTTGTCGTGTTTGGGGAGCTGGGTCAGAACAATTTCTCATTTTTTATGTTAAGACAGTTAAGTTATATGGACTTTGGTGATAATTTCATAAATATATTTAGGGCTATCTGTGCTAAACAAGAGGCTAGAATTATAGTTAATGGAGAAGCGACACAATGTTTTCCAATCAAGAAAGGCACAAGACAGGGCTGCCTGTTATCACCACTATTGTTTATATTAACTCTAGAGGTTTTGACAAGAATGATTCAAAAAGACAACCAAATTAAAAGCTTAAGCATTCAGAAAGAAGTTTACAAACTGCAAGCATTTGCGGACGATCTTGTTTTTATCATAGAAGAGCCGTTACAATCGGGTGCAAAGCTTATGGAAGTACTAGAAGAGTATGGGGAAGTAGCTGGCTTAAAAATCAACAAAGATAAAACCAAAATGTTGGTCAAAAATATGTCAAATGTACAAAAAAAAGATCTGGTCGAGAAAATAAATATCTAAATAGAGAAGAAAGTGGGAATACTTGGGAATACAGCTAACAGCAAGGTGCATCACAATTAAGGAGGATAATTATACTAATTTGAATAATCAAATAAAGACAGATTTAGAGAGATGGAAAAACCTGCAACTTTCCTTGATGGGGAGAATTGCAACAATAAAAATGAATATCCTACTAAAATTATTATTTCTTTTCCAAAATATACCCATAAAATTTGAGAAATATTTTGAAAATCTGAATAAAACAATATTGAAATTTATTTGGCAGGGGAGGAAACTGAGAATTAAATTGAAATTATTACAAGAAGCTAAAGAAAGAGGGGGATTTGGCTTGCCGGACTGGGAGCTGTATTATCAAGCTGCTACACTTACATGGGTGCAAGAATGGATAAACTTAAAAAATAGGAAGTTACTAACGTTGGAAGGCCATGATTTACAATTAGGTTGGCACACATTTTTGTGGGACAAAAGACATAATGCTCACCAGTACTTCCAGAGTCATTATGTAAGATCAGCTTTGCTTTGGGTATGGACAAAAATCAAACAACAGAATTATATAGAAACACCGATATGGTTCTCAATGTTAGAAGCGTTAATGCACCCAAACTTTATCAACTTGGGAAAAGTTATTACATATAAAGATATAGTAAATGAGAATGGGGAACTAAAATCCAGACAAGAACTAAGAGAAGAAGGGGTACAATTGGAATGGTGGGCGTACCTACAAATCCAATCATGCTATAAGAAAGATAAAAATGAATGGGGTATACAGAGAGAATTGACAACATTAGATAGAATTCTATTAGGAACAGAGGATAAAGCAATTAAGAAAACCTACAAATACCTATTGGAATATAAAATGGAGGAGGAACAAGTGAAAGAAGTAATGGTAGTATAGGCAAAAAACTTTGGTTACAATATTGAGTTAGATAAATGGCAAAAGTTATGGGAAAGGAATAGGAAACTAACCTTGGCTACTTCTTATAAAGAGAACCTATACAAAATGTTTTACCAGGTGGCACCTACCTCCAACAAGATTGGCAAAAATGAGCAAAAACGTATCACCACAATGTTGGAAATGTAACACAGCGACGTACTATCATACGTTGTGGTCGTGCACCAAAGCAAAAGAATTTTGGTGGCAGATTTAGATATGGCTAGAAGAAATACTTGACCAAAAAATAGAGTTCAGACCAGAATTGTTCCTATTGGGAATTATAGAAGGAAAATATTGTAAAGCAATGATATATTTGCATGTTATAACTGATGCAAGATTGGTCCATGCCCGAAATTGGAAGAATGGGAATATCCCTGAGGAAAGTGAAATAATAAAGAAAATTTTGGTCTGTGCAGAGATGGACAGGCTAACATTAGAAATTAAAGAAAAGGGTGAGACAGAATATTATGAAGTCTGGAACAAAATGTACCAATGGTTAGACTTGAAGAAAGGAAGTCGGAACAAAAAAACCCCAAATTGTAACACTTTATAAGACCGAAGGTGGAAGATTTTTAGGCTGTATAGAGGATATAATGACTATGAAAAAAGAACATGCAAGGAAATTATGTTGTAAATAGGAAAATATATGTGTAAATAGCACCAACTTAGTAATGTAGAATAAAGAAGAGATCAATTGTTATATGTGGTTTTGTGTTACAGCATGTATGGCAAAATAACTGCCAGGAAAGTCGCATTGTGTTCAACTGTTTTATTCAATAAAATTTTCTATTAAAAAAAAATTTCATTTAATGTACCACCACGTTCTTACTCTCCCATGTCTGTTCTTCCTTGTCTTCCCTCGATAGCCTTCACCTACTTCTACAAGGGCAACCGTTACTGGAAGTTTAACAATGAGAAACTCAAGGTCGAAGCGGGGTACCCCAAGTCGGTGCTGCGAGACTGGATGGGATGTGCCACCGATAACCGTCGCGAGGGAGAAGAAGTCATCATCATTGAGGTGGACAATGCTGAGGAAGGCAGGCTGAACGCCACCACGGTGGTGATCCCCGTCCTGCTGCTCCTCACCATCTGCGCTGTGGGAGTCGCCATTCTGATCTTCAAGCGTTACGGCACACCCAAACGGTTGCTGTATTGCCAGCGGTCTCTGCTGGACAAGGTGTGACCGGCCTTTGGAGATGTTTCAGGAGGACAGGTCTCACCTGCTTTCCACCTTGTCTACCTGCCTGTCAGAATTTGGGTCCGATCTCTTTGTTGCCACCTTTTGAGTCATCTTTTTCCTGGTCCTCCCTGCTTCTTCGTCCTGTTTTCTGTCGGACTTCTTGTCCAGCTCGCCATCAGCAACGTTCTTTCTCTCCAAGAGCTTTCCTTGACCACGGTGATCCTTGTTGACCTTCTCCTTCTTTCCTTCCTGTCTTTCACTCTGCCTCTCTTTCCTCCCTACGGCATTTCCATTATCCATTCTCACCCCACTGGGCAAGTGGGGTGTGCTGAGCACACTCCTTAATTAATCCGATGAGGCAGAAAGTTGAGGAGCCCATTCTTTGGGGGTTATGACCAGGCCAACCTCATGGCTACCCATCTGTTGACCTTGTATGACCTTCCCGCTTGCAAAACCAGTGGACTGAAATCCATACCGTGAACACTTTAGTTCTCCTAACTGTCCCGTGGAATTTCAAATCCAAAATTGGTCTCTAGGTCTCTCTCACCACCTTGCTTGGTCCTTCCTTCCAAGGGCAAGTAGTGGAGAACTGTCTTGTCTGCGTTGCCAAGCCAAAAACCACAATGGGTAGGGAAGTTATAGGGTTTGGCTCGTTGGTGGGCGAAGTGTTATAGAGCTTTGATCTAGAGAACCATGGATCTGGAAAGGAATTACGGTATTCTGAAGGGGACCTTCTCATTCCATTGGGTGAGAGGGAAAGAGGAACCGTGGCTGACCAGTAACGGAGTCTTACCAATCAGAAATAGCAGGGAGGAAAACGAGTGGGACACTAGGGTTGGTGGGTCTGTCCCAAACGCCAACTTTTCTTGAGGAGGGGGCAGCGAAAAATTATGAAGGGCCTAACCGGTCAGGTGGGAAGGAGGTAAGCTGAGCTTTCCTCATGACATAATGAAGTGGACCATTGGTACCTTGACCATGTTGGAAAATGGGGCAAGTTTGAGAGAGGGAGGGAGGGAAGGACCAAGGTTATGTGAGCTACAGGAGATGTTTGCCGAGATCAGTTGTCCCATCCAGGTGCCTTCCAGACGTTGAGATCCAGGGTTGTCCAAAAAGTCAAGATGGCCACCATCGTTGACTGCCATCTTGATTTTTTTTTTAACCGCTCCCATGGGCACCCCAGGTTAGGAGCCAATTTTCAAGGCTTGTTGAACATTTTGGCGTAGAATTTGGGGATGGAGTCCTCCATATCCCTGGAGGGCACCTGACTGGTGATGAAGTTCCAGATGTTTCCAGGGCCACTTCTGGAAGTGTTAACTTCTCCATCTGACAATGTTGTCCTGGTGTTTACAGTTGTCCCTTAAAACAGGGGTTCCCCAACCTTGGCAACTTTTTAAGACTTTACGGACTTCAACTCCCAGAATTCTGGGAGTTGAAGTCCACACATCTTAAAGTGGCCACGGGTTGGGGACCCCTGACTTAAAATCCATTCCGGATTCTGTGAAAATGAACCAAAAGCAGCATATTTTTTGCAAAACGGGGTGGGCAGGAGGAATGAATTGCACCAGAGAACTGCCTCAAACGGCCTTATGATCCTGTGTCTTGATTTTTTTTTAAGTATGTAATTTTAATTATTGTATAGACATGCCTTTTTTTAAAAGAAAAAAAATGCAAGGGATTAAAAATAGCACATTAATGGGATGTGGGCATATAGAATAGGCATAGGAGGAGAATGTCAAAATCCTGCAGGCCAGGAACTGGGTGCCTTACAACAACAACCCCCACCCCCACCCCATTCCTGCTCAGAGCATTTTTTTAGTAAGGGCAGGGGGTGGGTGATTTATATAAATATTTTCAAAGGGGTCTCCAAATGGAATTAAACTGTTTAACGATCAGATTGTTCCTGGGTGGGGTGGGGTGGTTAATATTGTTTATTGTTATACTTGTATTATTATGATTTTGTTATTAATAAACACCTGTTCTTTCAAAGGGATATGCGCGTGTGTGTGTGAAATGGTTACAGACGGTAATGTATGCTGTTTCTGTTCTGTTATTCCTTTTTAATGTTAGCAATAATAAACAAAAAACCACACACACACACACACACCATTTCTGGGTGGAAATGGACTTGAAATGCTGGAAGTTTGAAAAGATTTATTTTGTTTTGGCCCCTGCCTAAGTTGTCTGGAACTGTTTTGTTACTTTAAAAAAAAACATTTTTTGTTATGAAAAAAGAATTGTCAAAGATAAATCCCCCCCCCTTTTTTAAAGAAAAATAATAAATGCTGGATTTTCCCCTCTTTTAAAATAGGTATAAAGTGTGATTTATTTTTTTCTTCGAAGAGAAAAATAGAAATTAGTCCTTGACTTACAAGAGTTCATATGTTAACAACGGCACTGAAAAAAAGGACCATTGCAGCATCCCCGTTAGTCATGTGATCGAAATTTGGACGCTTGGCATCTGATTCGTATTTATGACAGTCACGGTGTCCTGGGGTCATGTGATTCCCCTTTGGCAACCTTCTGACAAGCAAAGTCAAATGGGAAAGCCAGATTCACTGAACCACTGTGTGACTAACTTAACAACTGCAGTGATTCACTGAACAACCGTGGTCAGAAAGGTCATAAAATGGGGCAAAATTCACTTAACATCGGTCTCGCTTAGCAACAGAAATGTGGGCTCAAATGTTGTGGTCTTAAGTCAAGGACTTCCTGTATAAAGCTGCGTTCTGATGGACCTCAATCCCTGTCTGCATGGTGGTTCCTTATTATTTGTCTATTAAGATTGAAAATGCGAGGATAGAAATGGATTCAACTTACAGGCAGTCCCTGACTTATGACAGTTCATTTAGTGACCGTTCAAATTTACTGAAAAAGAAATGACTTATGACCAGTGGTGGGATTCAGATTTTTTTTTTTTGGGGTGTAGCTTGGTGGGCGTGGCAGGGGAAGGATACTGTAAAATCTTCAGAGATGGTATTTGTCAATTCTCCAAACTACTCAAATTTTCCGCTACCAGTTCTCCAGAACTGGTCAGAACCTGCTGAATACCACCTCTGCTTATGACCACTTTTCACACGTAACGACTGTTGCAGCATCCCCGCGGTCAACATGATTCACATTAAGATGCTTGACAACTGACTCACATGACTGTTGCAGTGTCCTGGGGTCACGTGATCCCCTTTTGCAACCTTCTGACGAGCAAAGTCAATGGGGAAAACGGAGTCGCTTAACAACGGGGTTAATTGTTGAACAACTGCAGTGGTTCGCTTAACAAATGTGAGAAGAGTCGTAAAATGGGGCAAAACTCACTTTTCTCACTCAGCAACGTAAATTTTGGGCTCGACTGCAGTCGTAAGTCGAGGACTAACTCCCGTACTTGGTCTGTGATTAAGGGGTGTCAAAATCAATTTCACTAAGTTGAGGACTACCTGTAATAGCTGAAGAATAGACACCTTTTCCCCATGTCAGTGAATGTTGGGGAAAGTATCATTGTGTCATAGTGGAGAGATTCCAGGTTGGACAATGAAAATGGCCTTTGAAGAGCAATGTAGATAGGGGGCAGTGGTGGGATGCTGCTGGTTCAGACCAGTTCAGGTGAACCAGTAGTTCAGCAGCTGGCCCTATCCACCCGCCCCTGCCGTATCCTGTCCTTTATTTCCTGCTTTGTAGCTCATCTCAATCACACGGCACAGCTGATTTCCCCCCCTCTCGCTGTTCTACTTACTGTTGCTGACTTGGAAGGTAAGCAGCTGAGCTTCTGAATGCTCTAGTTGCACACACGCTCACTGAACCGATTGTTAAACTGGTAGCATCCAACCACTGATAGGGGGTATGCTGGTGTCATTAAATAGTTTATCTTTACCCTTTGGATTCTGTTGGGAGTCACCAAGGAAAGAGTGCTGTAGAAAGCTGCTAGAACGGGTGTCAAACTCAATTTCATTGAGGGCCAGATCAGGGCTGTCGACCTTGGGGGGAGGGGGGGCACAGGTGTATGTGGGTGACTGGATGGGTGTGGTTAACTGGGTGGGCATGGCCAGCTTGACGCCACTCCCCAAACTGCTGGCATGTTTCTCCTTCGCATTGGGTAGACCAGGCTGAAGCAACACAGGCCAGCTCCTTACATTTTCCAGGACAGCCCTATGGGCCGGATCCAACCGCAGGCCTTGTGTTGGACGCCCCTGAACTAAGTCCTTCTGTATTCAGAGGAAATGATTCCTAAACAGTTTTCCACAAAAGATTGCAGAAGGAAGAGTTTCAGGAAAGACTCAAAATACTTTGGCATTGTCTCCAACCACCCTCCGTCATCCAAAATCGACAACACGGCCATCAAAGGTGGCCCTCTTAGCGGTGGCCACGGTTGAGAATGATGGGTGTTGGAGTCCGACATATCCAGAGGACCTCATGCGTGACGGTTTTTTCGATTAATCCGAAGCTACAATTTGTGGGTTAAAGTTTGGAGAAAGCTGAAGCCTGGGATATCCCCCCCTCCCCCCCCCAATTTCACACAACTGAATCCAGCTTGAATTCAGAGGGTGGGTTATTGAGTTTAATTGGGGGTGAGTGGAAGAGGCAGGGTGTTTATGGATTTGCACAAATTCCACAAAAACAACAACCAAAACCCCCCACAGATGACCTGATAGCTTATCCCTGCCAAAATATGTTGCATATTAATATTCTTGGCACAGCTTAGATCCAAAGTTGAAATGGAGGCATTAAAAATAACAAAAAATATGGAGGGAACAGGAAGGTTGCGCACTTCCTGCATCTCATTCCTTTTTCTTCCTTTCCCTGTACCTTCCTTCCTTCCCTTTTCCCCCCTCCCTCCTCCTCTATCCCATTCTAGCAAACAAGGCTATCCCCACCCCCCCAAGTGTCAGGACTCTGGGAGTTACTCCAATTAAATCATGAGCCTCGAGCCACACTCCCAAATCTAAAAAGGATTTATTAGAAGTTAACATTCCAGCATTAGCCTGGGCATAGCCGACTCTGGGATACGTAATTCACTGTCACCCTTGGTCCTGCTTTCCCCCCCCCACCCCCCACTTCTCTGGGTGTATCATCCAACGAAACACATCCATAGCCAAGAGTCATCAATCATGCTCTCCAATTAGATTTTTGCGCGGCAGAAGCTTCAGTCATCTAATC